TTGGTGTATCAGACAAAGAGAGCTCATAGTTCGATATCTGAAAAACCTGTTATTAGACAAAATAACACTGAAGACTTAAAGTATGTTTGATAAAATAAAAAAAAACAGACATTTTGACTTGATTTTCTTTTTTAAAGTAATGGATGTTGAAATCATCAATGAAATGATGAAAAACAAGAATTGGCAGACATGCTTTAAGAAAACAAAAACGGAAATATTGCTATGTTTCTTATGGGAGCATTAATATTTATTGATCAGATAAAAACATTCTAAAAGAGAGTCAATCTGATTTTCTTAAGATGTTTGAGGTATTTTTTGCCAGCTTTTACAGAATAAAAAAAAACAATGATTATATTCATAAAAAAAATAACAGTAATGCCTTGAATGAAAGGACATCATAGGAACTTATAAAGCTCTTCTTAAACTGCTCTTTGTTCAATTCACATCTTTGAACAGCTTAACATGCAAATTACAGTGAGTGTCAATCATAAATACTTATTGAGAAGGTAGTGAAGAAAAGTGAGGAGAACATCAATTACAAGAAGACACAATGCATGGTTGTTAGCAAAAGGAAAAGCCCAATATTCAAATTACAGATTGGAAAAACTGAAATCAAACAAGTACAACAATTTAAATATCTGGAAAGTGTTTTTAACAGAGGACAGAAAGAGCAACATTGAAATTCAAAGGTGCATTGAGATAGTGAAAATTGTCTTCCAAAAGCTAAGCAAAATATTAACAAACAGGAAAATATTGTTAGAAACAAAGAAAAGCATACTGAAATGTTATGTAATATCAATCCTTTTATATGGCAATGAATCCTGGAGCCTGAGCATATGCACCCAGGCCAGGTTCCAGACTAGTGCAGCCCTCATAACTCTTGGTTGCACTGGTATTAATACCAATCCCCTCATTTTGGTGCAGTGAGGGAGATACTACCAAGGGCAGCTGTTTCCTGAGACCAGATACCCTCTCAATAATATTTTTAGTTGCACTCTGTCCACAGACAGGCACACAACTGAGTTATGTTCTGTTCAAAATGAGACATGGAATGTAGATTATCTGCTCAAGGGCAGATGCTACACTTTGATCTCCACTAAAAGGAGTAGCGATGGTGAATGTGAAAAAAAAGCACCATTTTTCAGATGTACACTATTGAATGACAGCAACAGAGTAAGGTAATCACCAAAACTTCAGTTCTTAAAAATAAAATAACATGCAAATTTATTTTTAAATTATTAAAAGAAATGTTTGTAAGATGGCTAGTTACTGTTAATGCTCTGTCTCTTGATATTAATTACAAAGGCTGCTTGCATTAAAAACGTTATCTTCCAGAAATACCCTGGTCAACCATAGGCAGCTGAAGTTTCTGGGACACATAATGAGGAAGGAGAGCCTGGAGAATCTGTTACTCATGGATTAAATAGAGGGAAAGGGAGACAAGAGAAAACGTGTGACATACTTTATGGGCTTAAGCAAGTGGATGACAGAATGTGTTCTGGGGGAGGTAGTAGAGGGAAGGAAATTGTTGAGAGTTGCAAGGAATGGAGAAGAGGTGGAGAGCCATGATCGCCTACATCCTGAAAGGAATCTGTGGCGAGCCATGATTAAATGTCTATGTAGTAATGGGACATGTCATTTAATAAACGCATCAGAAGATTAACTCAATTCTAGGCTCAAGAGCCACTCAAGCTAAAGAGTTATTGTTAAATTGGTAATGATGAATCTTGTGTATGATATGAACGCAAGAAAAAATGGTAAAAAGTGAAGATTATGAGGATATCTAACAATTCAACCTTAATTTGAAGAGGTTATGATTTTTAGTGTTCAGGAAAACACTCATGTGGGAGTCAAGTTGCACAAAGTGGCAGTTCTTGGAAAAGGAGCTTTTGTATCAATCCCAAGGTTTTTTTTGCACGTAAGTGAATGTAATGAAGCTAACTGTATTTAGAATTGAACTCGACTCTCCGATTTCTCATTCTGACTCATTATCCCTTACACCAAGTACACATCCAAGCTTACAGCACCTGTTATTCTCAAGCGGTCACCCTTCTAGGTACAGACCAGATTCAATGTTGCTTAATTTTGGTGATTGGACAGAAACTGGTGTTTCAACATGATATGACTGTAAGCCCTTTCAAATGCAGCCAAATTGGCGACTTGTAACCCAATCTAACAATAGTGCTTTGTAAAGCAAATAAAAGAAATATTGGTTACAAAGATTTTAAACACAGTTTCTACATCAAAAACACACTCTGCCTTGTATTAAATTATTAGAGATGACACATAGATTATGCTAAGAAAAAGACTAAATGAGCTGAAAGAAGTTAAACAGCATTTATTTAAAAGTGATGATACCCTCAAGTGCTGCACATTGGAAGCCAGTGTAATTAAGAAAGAGGTGGATTCTCATTAGCTGTGTCCTCAGCCAATCAACGCAAATAATGAGCCCAGTGAGACAATCAGAAAATGTTTGTTTTGTCTTCTAATTCCAGATTGGAGATTCATTTGTACATTGCCAAAAGCCTATAGGCAATCAAATATCTGCTTTTATAAAGAACAACTTTTTGATCCACTCATATGACCTATTTTCTTAAAGCGCTATTTTCATTAATATAACCCTTTTTTCGCTTTCCCTCCTTTTTTAAGCTCAATTTCATTCAATTTTAACTCTAATGATGTGGATTTTCTATGTAATTGAAAACTGATAAAAAAGACAGAAAATGAAAGCCAACATGTTATATTCACATGTTGCCAACTCATTAACTTCTTTAAAATGAAGAAAAGTAAATTCTTTCCAATTTTTGTCAAATCATCTGCCTTACCATTGGAATATACCTTGCAAGTCTGTCAAAAGTGAAAAGAAAATTTTACTAAACAATAGGCTAATTGTATAAAAAAAAATTATGCTAACCTCAATTGTTTTTTTTATAAGATTCATAATTATAGTTTTTTGTTCAGATTTACCAATGTGACCTAACTAAAAATAATTCAAATAGGTTGGTATTAAATTTCAAACAAATTTTCAATTAATATATGCAAATCACTAAAACTTTTAAACAAGGAAACCAATAAGTGAAAAGAGAAAGCTTTGGTCAATACTAAACAATGATACCTTGGTTTTATTATTAAGTTTAAAAATTGATGCTAATCATCTATTTTATCTTATGTTCAAACTTTTATTAATGAAGTGATTAAAATACATGATTTAAAAGAATTTGAATTGCTAATTTTATTAAATAATCTTTACTCATAAAAATTTATTTTAAAAATGGAAAAAATATTAAAATACTTACAATAAATTTGATAAGCTTTTAGGACATACTTTCTCCAATTTTAATATCAAATAATATGCTAGCACATATTTTCTGTTGGCAACATTAATATTATGTCTGTTAATGCAGTATTTGTACTTAAAGGTTTCTTTTTTTTCTGTTGCTTGCTGTTACTGTTACAGTTGATAACAATTGGCTAAGAGATTATTTACAATGGAAGTAAAGCTAACATATCCAATACCAATTAATGTTGGAATTTTTTAGGTGAAGAATTGCCATTATTATCTGCCTTATTTTCTGACCAGCATGCTCACCTTGGCTATTATATTTAAGAGAGTACATTAGTTGCAACATTGGGAGTATAACAACCAAAATGAACATTCTGGTTTGAATAATATTACATTGTTAGCTATTGGCAGCCGTAGGGTTGCTGGCACCCCAGGCAAGCTGAACTTCAGTGCCCTTACAAGTATAATTTTTTAAAATCATCACATGAATCATAAACCATTTGTATAGCTCTCTTATCTGTTCATCAACAAAAAGAAGGTTCACATAGATGTCCTTTGGTTCTAAAATCTACTTAACTGTTCTTTACTTGTTATCCATCATATCTTTCTTATCTTACTACAAAGAAACTTTGGTTTGGTTGCATTTGTTTAGTGGTATATCAACACCTCTATGGGTAATTTAATGCTGAAATATAAATATTTTGTATGCAACTTTATGCGTTCAACTAATGATTGTTTTGTACATAATTTTATACGTTTAGGGTAAACATTTGTTTTATAGTTGAAGCTCTGGTAAATAAAAATCTTATCTCACTGTTAGCTTTATGTTGTATCCAAGAATTTCTTCTTTGCTAATCACTTCTTTTATGATGATGGCATTGATGACTAAATTCACTGCTAATGTGCAGATTCGGAACCAGAAGTTTCCAGTTTCACCAAAACCTGCTCCCATCATCCATTCTTTATTGCCGTTTGGTTTTGCAAGAGTTGGTTGGAGGTGAAAAAAAAAAAATCGCTGAGTGATACTGTCGGGAATTTTAAACTCATGGTAAAGCCACTCTTGGTGGCAAGGTTGAAGACAAGGACCAGATTAAGCATGACCAACCTCAAAGGCCCCAACAGTGGAACAAGCAGATGACAATTACAACAGATGTCAATGGTTCAACCAGCGGTTAAAGAGGGCTATGCATGATGAACATGCTACAGAAGGTGCCACTGAAAATCTTATCTAAATCAGTTTGAGGACAATTCAACCAAACTTGATACATGAAAATCTGAGAACATACGTTATATCAAAATACAAGATCATAGCTTTCTTCACACTTTGAAATAAACAATTATAGTGTGATCCTTTTTTTGTATTTCATAAACAACAAAGTTAACAGTTATTTGGTTTTTATAAGCAACAGTAATGTATTTAATAAGTTCTATTTTTAAAAGAAAAACAGCTTAAAACTAGAATGGAAAAATTTTTGTTGGTATCTCAATATGGAAATTTATCATTTCTTCTTGAGTGGGTGCTGAAAAGTCGCTTTTTTTTTTTTTGGTTTGAACAAGAAGGTATTCCAAATTAAGTTCTGACATTTAGTCAAATTTTGGGAAGTGCAGTCAAGCCTAAAACTTTTCAGTACCTCCTTTGTAGTCTATGATAAAAACAAATTAACAAAAATTCAAAATTTAAAAAGAAATATTTTAAAAGTTTAAAAATAATCAGGCTTATGGTCATATCATATTGAAACACCAGTTCCCATCTGATCACTGGAGTTAAGCAATGTCAAGCATGATCAGTATGTAGAAGGGTGACTGCTTGGGAATACCAGGTACTGTAAATTTGGATGTGCATTTGGTGTAATAGATAACAGGCAGGAATGAGGAATTGAAGAGCTGAGTTCAGATTTAAATACAATCAAGTTCATTATATTCACTCATGCTCAAATAACCTTGGGAAAGGTATGAATTCACATCTTTTCCACCCAATCTATGGGTTAAATAGCACTTGTATCTGAAAGTCATTATTATCTACAAAATATTGTTTATATTTACCTGCAAAAAATATTCTTACAATTTAAAAACATGTTTTGGCTTTAAATAACCTGTAAAAGTTTGATAAGGCATAAAAGAAAAAATAAACAATTAATCATAAAATTACTGAACTGGGAGAAAAAAAATCAGCTAATTTTAGATGATATAGTCAACAAATCTGCATGAAGAAACCATGAAAAATAAGCTTGTAATTTTAGATAGACAGAAAATCAATTCTGTAGGTTCTGGAATGTTTTTTTTTTTTATTGTATTCAGGTGATTGAAGTACTTCAAAATAGCATTTAAAGTTGTTCTCTTCTGCTAAAAATAGTATTCTAATTAATCTATTTTTCTGCCCATCTTCAGTAAAACTCATCTGTTTTTGTAAATACAGTTGCAACTACTGCTGAAAAGTCCTTGACCAGAGCCAAATCCTCAAATCAGCATAATACTGATTTTTAGGGAATGGATCAGACCGAAACCTTTAAGCATTCCCTCATATTGTCATAAAAACAAGCAAATATTGGCTGCACTTTGTAAGCTGCAGAGATGGTGATAAAAAATGATCATGTGTTCTTAGGCATACCAGACACAGACAGACATTTTCAATTGATAAATCCAAAGGTGCATTGGAATACTGAAAGATGTTTCCCAAAATCTAAACAAAGTATTAAGTAACGTAAAAATTTTGTTAAAAGAAAAGAATGATGAAATTCTATGTAATATCAATCCTCCTATATGACAGTGAATGCCTCACGGATAAAGAGAAAACTTGAGGCAGCACACACCTTGATCTACAGAATGATACTGTGAATAACATGAACAGAACATACAAGCAATGAGGAAGCTTTAAGGAAAATGGAAATAAAAAGGACACTTTTTTAAATTTCATCACAAACAAGGCAATAAAGCCACTAAGACACAAGGGATTACTGAATGTGAAAGAAGATGAGGAAAAAAAACACCATTAAGGAGAAAGAACAATAAAAGAACAAGAATTAAGAAGAGAGAAGATAACAACTGACATTACACACTCATTCCTATACTGTGCAGTCAACAAAATCAAAAAACAAACAATGCACATACATGAAATTAAAAATATCAAATGGCAACAATTTACCCATCACACTCTATATTTATCTAAACAATGTATTTCATGGTTTTTAGTTTATAATATCTATACTTATTAAAAATATTGATAACTTGTTTTTGTGAATGGTGGCTTTTATACTCTATACCTGACTATCAATGTTTTGAACTAGAGTTTAATATTCAACATTAGATCTATCCCCATTACAGCAATTTTATATAAAGTATAATATAAATCCAATATTTGGAGACCAATGATTTATTACTTGTTGATAAATGATTCTCTTATTTAAAAAAGCTAAAGAAAATATAATGAATTTCCCTATATTTTAAAAACAGTTTTTTACCCAAACAACCAATATAATCATTCATTTTCTACAGCTTGTCAACCCTTTTTTTCTTTAGATAATAATAGTTTAGTGATGCAAGTCCTACTAATTAACCCATAGCTGGAGGAGGCGAGTTAGATTTGTACCTTTTCCAAAGCTATTTGCATGTAAGTGAATATAACGAACCCAATGGGAATTGGAACTCAGCTCTCCGATTAACAATTCTGAGCAATTATCTTTTACCCTATTATACATCCAAGTCTACAGCACCTGGTATTCCCAAGTGGTTCTCATCTAAGTACTGATCAGGCCCAGCATTGCTTAATTTCAGTGATAGTACAGAAACCAGTGTTTCATTGTGATGTGGCCGTAAGCAAGAGACTATTTAGGAACATTTAGATTAATGTTCTGGTTTTCTTATAATTTCTGTTGTTAGGTGAATTTAGTCATAAGATAAGTTTTGTATTGATATCTTATGGTATCAGTACAACATAACACTTTTTATAAACCATTGCTATTACTTTCTGGTCTTCCATACATAAACCATTTTGTACAATCATATAAAAATAAGTTGGGCACCTCAACATGGTGTAATGGTTAGCAAACCTGTCTCAATAGAACAATTATGACTGGGTAGGGAATTCAATCTTCACTGGGTGCCCCATACTTTCGGCTTTGTACCACATCTAAGCCATGCTTGGAAAACCAGCATATAAAAATCAGCAGGTGTGTATCATTTTATCATCACCAATTGGACCCCAGTCTTTCTCCTGTCACAATGAACATTTGCACTCTCAACAAGGCTCCATGCTTTGAATGCCTATTAGTACTTAAGCTCACACGAGCCCATATACATATGTACTATTCATCACTAAAGATACTAGATAAATACTCCTTGTACTGATCCCAAAAGTACCCAACTTGTTTTACAATGCTTTATTTTTTACATGAGGCAGTTTATGCTAAAAATGGAGTATTGTAGCCCAATTCTAACTTTCTAGCCTTGATAGATTTCAAAATCAGTCTTCTAGGAAATGACAAGGAGTTCTTGGTCAGGATGGGAGGGTGGAAGGTTTCTGCATGAGTTTTCCACTCTACAATCTCTTTCTCACAAACAAAAAGCTGGAAGCATCTTACTACTCTACCACCTATTTCTATGGCAAATGATCACTCATTAGTTTTACCAGTTCAGACCTTTACAGCTAGGACTTGCGTTACTCCGTCAATAGAGTCAGCTCATCCTCTTTTTGTCTGTATTGTATTTTTGAGAAGGATGTTCAAGTCATGCACTTACACCCACCCACCCAAGAGCTCCTCATCTGTGGAACAAACTCCCACTTGGTTGCTTCTAGTCATGGGTCAATCACTATCTATTCTCATAATTTTCACTTCCTTCTCTTACATCTCTATCACACACCCCATTCACTAGTCCTGTAAACTGAATGTCTCTTGAACCCTATATTAGCTGAACATATTATAAAAACAAGCAGGCAAAACCTTATGTCTTACTGTTGTTATTGTTCAATCATTTCTAAAGTCTGAATTAGTCAAATCAATGGAAACATTGCTTTTTAGATTTGAAAGTTGTTTTGCTTGCTCTGCATTTGACAAATAACTGACTGCAGTTTGATTGAAAAAGAAACTTTTGTGTGTTATATAGGCAAATTTTCTCAAGGCAGATGCCATCATCAAATATCAATGGGGTGTCATAAAATAGATTAGATATTTTCACTCAAGATATCGATAACTTGCACATCTGCTCTAATCTGACTGGATGCCCAGCAACTCATGGGAAATGATTTTGTATGCAGCATATATAAATGATTATTTGCAACTATTTTTTTTTTCATGACGAGATGTTGCATTGATTGACTTGGAATAATTGAGTGGAAAGTACTGATACAAACAAAGTCAGTTTCTCTTGGGGTTGGCAACAATACAGAAGCAAACCATGTTGTTTGGACTTTGTGTTTCTCCAAGAGAATCTGAATTGATCATCTTGTGACAAGCCTGACTGCATAATAAAGTAGCTATTTGCAAGTGTATCCAAAGAAAAGAATTTTGACCTTCTTCAGTTAACGAATCAAGATGTATTTAACTATTTGTGGATAAAATTAGACAAAAGCTCAGATAGGAAATGGAACAACTAAATTCAATGTGATTAGCATCAACTGAAGATAACTGTTTAAGATTAAAAAGAACATTTACTCTTCAATTTTTTTAAATGCTATGCAAAGCTTGTGTGTACTACCTCCAAACACCCTGACTAGGGGCCCTAGGCAGTGCTTTGTGACCCTCACTATCTTATCAACATTTGCTTTTTTCTACCTACATTTATATATGCTACCAATTAAATGCAGCACAACTGATTGTTAAAGAACAAAATATTTTTTACAGATTTTAACGTCATTCTGGGTTCTTTTTTTTTTGCCGTCAAATCCATGAATTTGCTTTGCTCATGTTAAGTCTTAAAAAGACGCAATATAAAATTCACTATATTTTTATCCATAAAGTTGAATGTGCTAAAATTATTCAACTTTTTAACAAGAAAAATCTTAAGTTGATCTTAAAAATTGCCGCAAAACATTGTTGATTTATTTAAGACAGAACAATCTATTATGACATGTGTCTAATTTGTATTTAGATACATTGTATTTATTTTCAATTTTTCTAATTGAATTGTTCACCTATAATGGATATGATCCATTATTGTACATAATTAGATTACAATAAAATTTGTATTTTATCTGAATACTACCTTATCAAAATTGAGATTTAGTAGAGTGGGAGCCCCGTATCATAAATTCAGGGGATTATCATAGATTCAGTGGGGGCCCACAAGGCCATTGCATCAGCCCTGATATTATGTTTCTAGAGGATGTAAGTGATTAAGGGTTGCTATAGCTTCCATTCCTTTGATATCTGTGAATTGCCATAACTTCTTAGGAAAGATATTTGATTGGTTTCTGGTTACTTTATGAATTCAAAGTAGTCTATTTAGATATAACAAGGCTGGAGACCCCAGTGTTCTCTGCTATTTTATATATAGCTAGAGAGAGAAGAGATAGATCCCAAAGGCATTAGTGCAAAGTAAATGAAACAGATTCAGCTGTAATTTGAACTCTGCTTCCAAATTACATTTCCCATACCAGAAACTACTGGGTGAACTAACAGTAAAAGTCAAATGAGTCCAAAGTCCCTCCTAAAGAAAACTAAAAAAAAAATGATACCAATATGGATAGATTTCAAATTTCTCAACTAATCAAGTAGCTAATGCATGTAATTTCTAAGGGTGAACCCAATGCACACAAGACAAACAGAATGACCTGCAACAAGCACTCCATTCCACTATAACTGATCAAAAGGTTGGAAAAGCAATTGACTTATAAAGACTAAGCTAATTCACTCAATTACATGAGGAAGGAAATGCAGTCAAGCAACTCAATCCAAATAGTCATGCTTAATGATTTATTTCAACAATGAAGAATCTTTTTGGCTTTATTGTCATCAGGAATGATTTCTCTCTCTCTCTTCATTTGATTAATTTTTTCTCTTTATAGCCCTGAGCCTATCAGCAAAACCTGAAATATATCAAGTGTATCTGCTGCAGTGAGCTAAGATCCTTCTAAAAGGGGCCACGCACAATGTAAATGCTTACAGATTCAAATATAAACAACCAATATTGACCTAAAGCATACAGAGACACAAATATAAATGACCAATATTTATTTATTCCTGGACCAAGTACTCTTAAGTCTAGAAAAGAAACATAGTTTGGAATAAAAGGAGTGGTTGGGAAATTCATTCAAAAAGGTTTGATAGCGGTCAGAATAAAAGGATAGATTGGAAAAAAAAAAGTTAAAAGTAAAATTGGTTAAAATTTGAATAACAGTGGGTAGGAAAAATGTTTAAATAGCCAGTTTATTCTAGATTTTGTTCTAAAAATTAAATAGCTTGTTTGTTCTAGTTAGTGGCATATTTTGTTTAACAATGTCTATAAGTTATTTAATGCCAAAATCTAAATATTTTCAACACAATTTTATGGCTTCAACTAAATATATTTTGAATGCAATTGTATGCCTTCAACTACAGATTAAATGTATTGTTGGTAATTTTACTATAAATATATATTGTTGGCATTTATATATATATATATGTGTGTGTGTATGTATATGTATGTATAAATGTATTGCTGTTATTTTAATGTAAAAATGTATTTTTATACTTTCATAGTGTTTTGTTTTTGTTAAGGGATTCATTATTTACCCATAGTTGGGACTGTAACAGGTGCAAGCACCCTGGGTTAAGATGAACTTGGGAAGAGGTTGTTTGTTTGAGATGCAAGAGTAAAAATGCTTACAGACTCAAATACATATATTTTAAAAAACAACTGATTTAAACTGAACAATTTATGATATGTCATAAATTCAGCTAACACAACCCAAATTTCTCTTTGATAAAAAGGAGTTAACTCATAAAGGAAAATAAGAATTTTTTTTAATGTGGAGTCAATCATTTTTGTAGATTATCATTCATAAACCATCAATTGCCTACAACATTTGCCAGACTCAAAAAAAAAAAAATAATGATTTTTTTTTATCATCTGAGAAATGGAGGTTTCATTCATAATATAGATACATTGCCAAATTGATTCCTGACTACATAAAATTATCTATACTTTGATTTTATTTACAAACATTTGAAACTATATTTACATCATTGATAATTGCGTACTATTGATAATCTCTTAACAATTTATAGCAGTTATCAATAATAAGTGGTAGCAGTTATAAAGATGAGAGTATACATTTTTTTAATAGTGGTCTCTCGATGAATTGCACAAGAACTGAATTCACAATGACTATATCACCAAATTCACAAACCAACACTTTCATCCACTAGGCTATTGTCTTAGGGGACAATGCAGAATGGAGAACTTAAATCTCATTTCCCCACTGATGCAAATGCTGTTGCATTATTATTAATATAACTGGTATTGTGAAATAGAAACAGTTGTAGCAGTTATAAGGATAAAAGTATACATATTTTTAAATAGTGATCTATGAATAGAACAAATATAGTTTGTCTTGTTTATGACCTTTGAGCAATTGATGACATGATCTTTATTTGAAAATAATACATTTCTCTTGTGTTATGAAACTGTTTTACTGAACTGCTATGTAATATCAGTCTTCCTATATAGCAATCAATGCCAAAGAGTCTCCTCACAGATGAAAAACAGAGTTGAAGCAACAGAAAATTGCAGAGAATACCATAGACTGTACATGTGAGCAATGACAAAGTTTTGGAGAAAATGGAAAAAAGGAAATTTATATTTAACATCAGGAAGAGACACTTGAAATGTGTAAGGGC